GGTGAATGGCCAAAAAGTTTCATTAGGCTGTTCTCAAAATAGAAAAGCAAGCTATCAATAATCACAAGAAAAAATTACGCCAAATAACTAACAAGAGAAATGCAAACTAAAACAATTCTGAGGTTCTATTTTATGCCTCATAATTGAAAAATATGACCAAGAAGGAAAATGAAATATTGGAAAAGACATGTGAGGAAAAACACACTTATACGCTATTGTTAAAACTGTAAATTGATCCAACCATTATGGAAAGTAATTGAAAAATATATCTAAAAAGTGACTAGAATGTTTATACCTTTTGAGTGATACCACTACTAGGCATATATACCCTAAAGAGATCAAAAATAGAGAAAAAAGATCCATATTTGCAAAAAGGTTTATTGTTTATTGGAAAAATGTTTATTGCACTTTTTATTGTAGTAAACAACTAGAAACTAAGGGGGAGCCTATCACATGGGAATGACTAAAATTATGGTTTATGTATATAATGGAATATCATTTTGCCACTAAGATTTTGAAGGGGATTGAATCAGAGAAACCTGCAAAGACTTGTATGAACCAAAGCAGAGGGAGCTGAAAAGAACCAGGAGAACAATTAGTACAATTACAGCAACATCAAAAAGCAACTTTGAGACAAGAAGTAACAATCCATGAAACAACCAACCATGACTTCAGAGGACTGATGATGAACTATGTTTCTCACCTCTTGATAGAAAAGTACTTGACTAGAAGGGCAAGATAAAAGACTTATTTTTGAAAGAAAATGTATGGACTTGTTTTCCTTGGCTATGTTAACTATTCACAAGGGAGAGTTTATTGGAGGGGCAATTCTAGTGATATGAAAAAGTGCTCTAAATCACTATTGATTACAGAAATGAAAATTAAACAACTCTGAGACACTGCCTCATACCTATCAGAAATAACTAATGATGGAGGGGTGAGGGAAAATGGGTTCACTAACAAACTGTTGGTGGAGTTGTAAACTTGGTCCAATTATTCTGGAAAACAATTTGGAGCTATGCCCAAAAGGCTATAAAACTGTATATACCCTTTAACTCAACAATACCACCACTAAATCTATACCCCAAAGAGATAAAAGAAAAGGGAAAAGGACCCATACAGCAGATCTTTTAGTGGTAGCATAGAACTAGAAATTGAGGGGATACTCATCACTTGGTAAATGGCTAAAGAAGTTGTGTATATTATTATGATGAAGTAATATTTTTCTATAAGAAATGATGGTGGGCACAGCTAGGTGGTGCAGTGGAAGGCCCTGGATTCAGGAGGATCTAAGTTCAAATCCAGCCTCAGATACATAACACTTACTAGCTGTGTGACCCTGGGCAAGTCACTTAACCCCATTGCCTGACAAGAAAGAAAGAAAGAAAGAAAGAAAGAAAGAAAGAAAGAAAGAAAGAAAGAAGAAAGAAAGAAGAAAGAAAGAAAGAAAGAAAGAGAGAGAGAAAGAAAGAAAGAAAGAGAGAGAAAGAAAGAAAGAAAAAGAGAGAGAGAGAGAGAGAGAAAGAAAGAGAGAGAGAGAGAAAGAAAGAAAGAAAGAAAGAAAGAGAGAAAGAAAGAGAGAAAGAAAGAGAGAAAGAAAGAAAGAAAGAAAGGAAAGAAAGAAAGAAAGAGAGAAAGAAAGAGAGAAAGAAAGAGAGAGAGAAAGAAAGAGAGAAAGAAAGAAAGGAAAGAAAGAAAGAAAGAAAGAGAGAAAGAAAGAAAGAAAGAAAGAAAGAAAGAAAGAAAGAAAGAAAAGAAAGAAAAGAAAGAAAAGAAAGAAAAGAAAAGAAAAAGAAAAGAAAAGAAAAGAAAAGAAAAGAAAAGAAAAGAAAAGAAAAGAAAAGAAAAGAAAAGAAAAGAAAAGAAAACAAATGATGGGGGGGTTAAAAAAACATGGCAAGACTTATATGAACTGATGCAAAGTGAAGTGAGAACTTCGCTGTGCACAGTAACAGCAATGCTGTAACAATGATCAATGTGAAAGACTTGGCTGCTCTGATCAATATAATGATCCAAAACAATTCCAAAGGACTCATGATGAAAAAATGCTATCCACCTTCAGAGTGAGAAGTGATGAACTCTGAGTGCAAATTGAAGTGCAATTTTCTCACTTTCTTTTTTTTCTTTTCTTTTCTTTGAAATATTGCTCATATGGAAATATGTTTTGCATGATTTCACGTATAAATTGATATCATTTTTCTTTTCTTCACAGTGGGTGGGGAAGGTAAGGAAGGGAGAGAGAGAATCTGGAACTCAAAATTTAAAATGAAAAGAAATCTAAAAATAAATAAATCGTGAATGGGGGGAAAGCTTTTCACAATTTGGGGAAAAGTGGAAGAACAACAAAAACATGCATATGTAATGATATTAAGAGTTTCATATATGATTTTTTTTTTGGTTTCCCTTTGCATATGGAAATGTAAAGTTGGTTATTGCTTATAAAATGAGAGGGTTGAATGAACTACATGATCTCTAAGGTCCTTTCCAGTTCTAAATACTGTGATCTACACCATCTATCTCAGAGGACAGGGACCCAGGTATGAGTTATGAGTTGGTACTCTTAGACTACAAAATAGTGGGAATCAAAAGAGCAATAAACGAATAAATAAATCAATTGACAAGCAGTTACAATTTAGGAAGCATTATGTTAGGTGTTGAAGAGGAAGAGGAAAAGAAAGAAGAGACTGAGAAGGAAAAAGAAGAGGAGGAGGATAAGGGAGAAGGGAGAGGAAGATAAGGAAAGAGAGGAGGAATAGGAGAAGACAATCTCAGGGATTTTTGAAAATATATCCACTGTTGTGGCAGCTATGTGGCGCAGTGGATAGAGCACCAGCCCTGGATTCAGGAGGACCTGAGTTCAAATGTGGCCTCAGACACATAACACTTACTAGCTGTGTGACCCTGGGCAAGTCACTTAACCCCATTGCCTAACCAAAAAACCAAACAAACAAAAAAAAAACAAAAAAAAAATATCCACTGTTGATTGACAATTATATAAGAGACAATTGTCAGCTCATCTTGGCCAATGAGAGGGGAGCTACTCATGAGCCACCAGGAGAGAAAAGTTCAGAACTAAAGAGAAAGCTCAATCTAGGATACTTGGAGAAACAAGAGGGTGGGGGCAGCGTCATAAAGGGAAGACTTGTCTTCAAGGTTCCAAGATACAAGATCCAATGGTAGCCAAGGGCTGTAATTGGAAGAGATGAAGGCTGAGACGCCAACAGTCTTACCAGTAAGACCGATCATTTAGGGTTTAGAAGTGAGCTAACATCAAGGACAAAATCTGATAAATGGCTGTTCAGAATGAGAGAGCCAAGAAACAGTAGAAAGAATTCCCTACATGTCAGAACAAAAATAACTGACAAAGTCTTTTACAATTGGTTAGTATCACTCTTTTTAATGATTCTTCTGTTCTCTCTCCTCTTTGCTATGTTCCCCATGTGATACAAATAATCAATCCCTGAACCATACCTAGGGTGAGACCATTCAGTCTTTGCCCTGGGGGACCCTAACTTGTAGTTTTTGAACAACATGGAAGGTTTCCCCCAACTCGCTTGCTTGGCCATGTGCTAACTGAATGCCTCTCCGGCCTGGGTTAGCCCTGTTCCCTATCTCCTGCTTTGTGACAACCCAGAGTCTTTTCCCAGATAGTGTCCCAAGGTCTACCCCAGACCTTAAATTTATTTGCCTTAAAAGTTGATTTGAGGTCATATTTCATGCTACTCACCCCAGGTACATTGTGTACTGCATGTCCTGTGCACAAAAATGTTTAATTATGGCTCTGATAAATTCCCTTCTGAAAACACCTAAAATGAATATCCACAGTCTCTTAGGGAGAGGAGGAATGGGTAGAATGGTGGAGAGTATCTAAGTTCTTTCCATGTAAGAATTCTAGGAATTAGAGTCCTCTGAAAGATGAGAAATGGTGGCACTGGAAACCTAGCATGCTGTGCCAGCAAGTTGGAAACTAGAGCTTTTTAGTCTAAAAGAGAAGTTGTTCCATAAGGGAAAAGGTTGTGGGAAGGTGGAAGAGGGCCTCATTTTACAGGTCCTGACCTATGGCCTCATAATGAGGGAAAATGCTTTCTTCTGCTTTTGATTTTTTAAAAAATTGTTGTATTTATATAAAATGTGCTCCTTGAAAACAGTAACTATTTTTAAGTAGCTACAGTACACAGAGCACTATTCTAGATGCTGTGAAAGCTTAAAAAATTGGATAAGACACGTCCTTGTGTAACCTACCAATACTCATTCACATATACATAAGTGTGTATGCACACACCTACTTCAATACTTAAAGGATATTTGATTTCATTTGTGTGGGTACTCCTTTCACTGGTGAAGTTTGCAATTATCCTATAGCTTGGTTAGATGGTTTGAAAGTGCTAATGGGGCAGAAAAAGTCTTCCTTTTTCAGTCAGCCTGGTGAAAGATCTCCTCCTCTGTTTTGCTTTATTAGTCCTCAGAGAGATGACAGACACACTCTTGGGCAGCTCATACTCAAAGTCTCTCCAGACTTCCAGGACCCACTCAAACTTGAGCCCCACTGGCATTGCCTTTAGAAACAAACATGATTTCTATGCCACAATGAAGCATTGGAGGGAGGAATTATACACACACACACACACACACACACACACACACACACACACATCTGAAAACTGACTCAACAAGGAACAACTAGGGAAATTGTGTGAACAAAGACAAGGAGGGAGGGAAATGCATGACATTTGCCAGTGATCAAACATGACTGCAACAGAAAGTATGTAAGGTAGAATAATGTGAGATTTAAGTAGAAAGGATTGACCGAACAAAGAAATAATACAATAAATACAATATTAATATTCTCCTTCACAAATTGTTAGCATCCTGTTTTTTAGTATCTTGAATAATTTCCTTAGTCATACTCATAACTATTAGATCCCACCTTAAAATGTGAACTTCACTATTGGGAGATTGACAATAGTGAGGAGAAAGAAGAGCATAAAGAGACATTGTACCTTGGTCGTTGGTGTCCATGCCCTTCATGACCTGGGACACAGTTGTTGAGGGCTGAAGGGTTAATATTTAAGGAAGTCCTTAGGGCCACTGCTGAGATACCCACAAATGGTGAAGAGAAATTAAGCATCACTGAGTTGGTTTGGTGAAAAAGGAAATTCAGATTGTGGGTCACATTAATAGCCAATGGGTTATGCTGGCACGATAACTCATAGGTTCCTGTAGAAAAAGAAAAAAATAATGGTATAACCAACTTCAAATTGTAACATCTGACCAGGAAATTTCTTGGAGATACAGAGCAGAGACATCAAGTTCTTTCAAAAAAGTATATTTATTCTTAGTTTTCAACATTCACTTCCATAAGATTTTGAGTTCCAAATTTTCTCCTCTTGACACACAGTTCTTATTGAGTGTCTTATTAATCTCTTAAGAAAATATTTAAAAAGTCTTACAAATGGTAGGCTAAAACCATGCCCATTACATGCAATCATTATTTATGATGCTGTCCATCACAGAGAAGAGAGTAAAAAGAATACCTACGCAAGGGGCACAGATGGCACCATAATACTGACAGATGAAGCTTCTTGATGGAGCCAGTAAGCTTAGATCATTATGTGCTGGCAAAAGGGGCTTTTTAATGCTGTTGATCTGATCAGCTAGTTTTCCATAGCTTTCTGAAAGATGTTGTTTTAGAACTGTAATGCTTAACGAGTCCAAAATACAGGGCAGCTAGGTGGTGCAGGGGATAGAGCTCCAGCCTTGGAGTCAGGAGGACCTAAGTTCAAATCCAGCCTCAGACACTTGACACTTACTAGCCATGTAAACCTGGGCAAGTCACTTAACCCGATCGCCTCACCAAAAAGCTAAAAAAAAGTCCAAACTAGGACTTTGTATTGAATACCTTCAATGCCAAAGATCCCTTTGTCAACTGGATCTTTGTGGGAGGTTGTACTAGCTCCTTTGGAAAGAGCATGAGAAAGGCACAACTTACCCTAATGTCTTAGTGAAGCAGCCATTCCCCAATCTCCTTTATATTCAGGAGTGGGGTAAGGATAAAGTGTTAGTCTCTAACTCTAGGTAGTAAGGAGGAATCAGGCTGTTAGCTTACACCGGTGCAGTTTCTTGGTATATACCTTTAAGGTTCCTTTCATTCTATATCAAGGAAGATACAGGGAAGAGAATAGTAACTCCTCAAGAAATACTTTCCCTCCCTAATTATATCACATTTTCAATGTTTTTGCATCCATTATTTCAGCTTATCCTCACAATTTGGTTTCCTATTGCTTACAGAATAAAATATAAACTCTTCTGTTTAACTATAAAGCCCTTTATAACTCATCTCCCAATCTATCTTTCCAGACTCATTTTATTATACACCCTCTTGTACTTAATAATCCATCCAAGGTGGTCTGCTGTCCCTTCCTTGAGACACTTTATCTCTCACCTCCATGCCTTTGCATGGCTCTCCTCCATACCTAGAATGTACTCCTTCCTCACCTTTGCCTAATAGAATCCTTCAAGATGCAGGGCAAGCATAACCTTCTATGTGAAGCCTTTCCTGTTCCATGCAAATATTAGTGCACACCCTCTCATATCATACATAGATATATATGTGTGTGTATGTGTATATATATATAGAGAGAGAGAGGGAGAAATGATAGTGCCCTCCATATTTAACTACTTTGTATTTATTCTCTTGTTATCAGTCTGTATATACTTATTATTATACAGATATGTCTTTTTTGCCTCTCTCATTAGAATGTAAGTTTCTCATATGTAGGGATTGTTTCATTTCTTTTATTTGCATCCCCAGTGTCTAGCCCAGTACCTGGTCATATAAGCACTGACAGTAAACACTTAGTAAATGCTTATTGATTGATTTAAGCATCCCTTTCAGATAGGCAGAAGTCAGCATTACAAAGGAAGACATATACCAAGATAAATTCAAATTTGTCCAAGTGAACGTAGGTCAGACCTGTAGAGAAGTCATATTCATAATTGCAAAAATATTAAGTGGTATACTATTGGCTTCATTCTATATGATTCACTTATGTTTTGTCCTTCTTTCTGATTTCCCCCTTTTTTTTTTTTGCTCAAATAAATGTTCAGTATATAAGGGGTATAAAGGCAAGCAGAGATCAAAATAAAAGGAAAGAATGACCCTTATTTTGGGGCTCCTGCAATCTTCTCTGTGACTACCGTTCCTCTTTTTCATGAAGGAGAAAAGCCACACTTACCAAGGGAGTGGTTTTGTCCACTGGCATCACTCAATTGAAGAGTCACTGTTGGCTGCTGCTTTTCCCCATAGACCATGCCATCAGATGCCAAGAAAATGAAAACTGTGGTGGCCACACCAGGTCTGTCAAAGCATACCTAGGCACAAGTACACATACGTGTAACTCATAATTTGTTTTTATATCAATAAAAATATCTACCTCATTACAGTAAAGGAACCATTGAAATGGTTCTAGTATACCAAACATACTATCACTAAAAACAGATAAAGGTGCAGTATGATACATTTCAGTCAGACATAATGAAGCATACCTTGAGTTCCTCTTTTGATTAAGCACTAAAGCTAAACTCTAAAGGCGTTTGTGGATTTTCTGTACTTTGGAGAACTTTAGGCATAAAACAGGCCAGGAACACGTCACCTGGACCATAAGGAAATGAGATAGAGGGTGGAGCTGGAGTAGAAAAAAAGCACTTACCAGAGACTGAAGAAATAGTCCAAGAAACCCAGTAAAGTTGTCATCGTGATGACAACATGGGGCAAGAAAGTAGGAAGGGACTGGATATGGGAAGCATGATCGCTCAGATCATAGTTTGAATTACAAGTGCCTTCTCCACTACTACTGTTGTGTTACCACAAGGCAGGTTGTGCTCTTATTTCAAATCCCACCCCTCCCCCAACCAGAAACTGCATGTTATGATCCAGACAACTGCCTAGAGGCAGGAGGACCAGATGCCTTCTTGAAGCCATTTTGATTTCTAGAATGTAATGATTTAAATTATTAGCAGCCAACAGAGTACAATGGAAAGAGCAACGAACTTGGAGCCAGAGGGCATGGCTTAGAATGTTGGTTCTACTAGTTGCTACTTCTATGATTCTGTCCTGTTAGTCCTCAGTTTCCCCATGTTTAAACTGAAGGTGAGTTGAACTAGTTACCCTCTAAGATTCCTTCTGGCTCTGTAATTATAAATCTCTTAGACTCTGTATTGTACACAGATAAATGCAGTTTTCCTTTTAATATAAATTGTTCTAAAAACCAATGAGTTACAGTGTTCTATACTCCCTACTTTCCCACTTTTCATCTATTTCTCCTTAGAACAAGGAAGCACATTTAAACTGTTAGTTCCTTTATTGCTTTCAACTGCTGTTAAGGACAAATTTCTACCTTCTCTGGTGCACACATAACATATAACTCAGCAGTATCGAGGTGGGTATCAATGGAATTATTGCCACCATACACCAATGGAAGAAGAGTGATTAACCTCAGAAAAACTGTCCCTGGTTTCAGAGCAGGATGTGACATCTAATAGGAGATTAATCTTAATGTGATGAGCTTCCATAGCCTAGAAGCTACATTACCTGTCTAACCAATCCCTGTTTTCTCTCCAAGACAAAAAACAGTCATTTGTGTGATTTGCATGATTGGCTTAATTAATACAAGCTAATAAGTGCAGGAAGGCAGCATGGCAGAAATCCCTTACCTCAACCCCACCCCCACTGAAGAAAATTGTAACTGTTCTCTTTCTTTCATTTCTTTCCTTTCCTTTGTCCTTTATCTTCTTGTCATCACAAATCCTTCTAGAAAAGGAGAAAAGAAAAAAGAAAAGGCAAAGGAAAGAAAAAGAAAGAAAAAAGAAGAAAAGAGAAGAGAAGAGAAGAGAAGAGGAGAGGAGAGGAGAGGAGAGGAGAGGAGAGGAGAGGAGAGGAGAGGAGAGGAGAGGAGAGGAGAGGAGAGGAGAGGAAGGAGAGGAGAGGAGAGGAGAGGAGAGGAGAGGAGAGAAAGGAAAAGAAAAGAAAAGAAAGAAAAGAAAAGAAAGAAAGAAAAGAAAAGGAAAAGAAAGAAAAGAAAAGAAAAGAAAAGAAAAGAAAAGAAAAGAAAAGAAAAGAAAAGAAAAGAAAAGAAAAGAAAAGAAAAGAAAAGAAAAGAAAAGAAAAGACCTGGACCCATAGTGTATAGATTATAGTGAAAGGTCTAAGGAGCATCAATTTTTTTCTAGAAGGGGTCAATGACTCTAATTTTGTTCTTTTACATTTGAGGAAATTGAGATTGAGTAAGGCTAAGTAACTCATTGAAAGTCACTTAAAGTTTACAAGGTAGGATTTGAAATCAAGTTTTCCTGGTTAAAAGCCCAGCCATCTATCCACTATAACACCTAATTCTTCTTTAACACTGAATCCTCTGAAACTTACTGGATTGGGTTCATCTGAGAGCAAAATCTGAAATACATCACAAGGTAACTGAGAAACCTTTCCAAAGCCTTCAGCCCTGGGTGCTGAAAGAATTCAAAATCCCCAGGGAACTCCCCTAACCTTTTCCAGTTTGTGAAAAACCGAAGAGACCTGCTGTATGAAAGCTTGAGGTTGACAAAACAGGCCTCATCTAAGCCAGGGAACAAATACAAAGACCAAGTAAGCATATGGTGGCTTCCATCCAGTGGGCCTCAAGTCTGATGGATGGGGATGACTGCAAGGAAGGACAGCAGAAATTAATTTTCTCAATTCCCTCATCCTGGTCTCTTCCTTGACACCACCCACCAGGAAACCGGCTGGTCTAGTGGTTGTTCTTATGATGTGGACACTTTTTCTCTTGGGCCTGAGCCCAAGACCAGCTTTTCATGTTCACCTTTAAGGTCTTCGAAACCCAGACCACTGCAAAGGCTGATTGCTGGGGATGCTAAGGTGTCCAGTGGCTTAGTTTGTGTGAAGGGCCAGTGCTAAGATTTTTAAGCCATAGCTTGATGCAAACCACAAGGGAACATGATATATGTAGGTGATCTGGTTGGGGGGAGCAACAGCACCTCACAGAGATACGTCAAGCAAAAAGAAATATTGGCTGATCAGGACATGGGATTACAAATGCAGCTCTAAAAATGTCTCAGATGGAAATCTCTAGTAAAACAATTGGCCATATCCTATACTTCCCTTTTAATGTAGAAAAGGCTACATTAGTAGCAGCTACATTAGCACAAGAAAAGTACCAGCTTTGTCTACCAGGCAATATACTCTTCATACATAGAGAGAGATTTGTGTTTCATCTACATGATCCACTAATGCAAGGGTTTTTCTTAAACCTTTTTTTGATGTTATGGGCCCTTTGCCAGAATAATGTTTTTAAATATACACATAAAATGCATAGGACTGAAAAGAATATCAATTCCATTTGAGTGACTTTGACATTAAAAAAAATAATAAGTTCATGGACCTCAGGTTGAGAACTCCTGTAGTAGAGATAGAGACACGTACTGTAACTACAAAAATAATTAATGAGGGAGGGAGAAAAACAGGAAAGAAGAGAGTAAATATGTGTGTCCAGAAAAGGAATCTTGTTTTGACCCTGTTCAAGAATTTGAAATGAAGTACAGAATTTAGGAAGGGACATTAACAATTGAAAGACCAGCAGTATCAGTCGATAGAATTTTTTAAAATAATTTTAATATAATTTCTGCTTTCTGTGAAAATGCATTTTAGATACAAATAATTACAAACAGATATTATAACTTTACTTTGAAATAAAAATTTTCATCCTGTTATGATTTTCTTTCCCCTAAGTGTATAGTTTTATCTTGGTCCTTCAAGGTATTCTTAAATTCTGATTTTTTTTAAAGACCACAGAGGATTTGTACAAGGTAAAACAGATAGTAGCACAGCAAAGATTTAAGCACAGGTGCTCTAGCTCCAAATCCAGGATCTTACACTCTCATACAGTGGATATCATATAGGGACCGGATCATGTTATTTTAGTTCTGAGGATTAAAAACTCAGATTCTCCCATTCAAGCATATGGTGTCCACTACAGAACTCATCTATAGGCTTCATCAGTACCCAAGAGTCCAGGAGTCCACTAAAGTCCTAGCGATATCTAACACATAGAAGTAAGCCACAATTCAAAAAGATTAACATAAAAGTAAAATCATTTAACTTCTCTTGGACTCAGTTTCTTCACCTGTGAAAATATCTGGAAATAATAATAGCACCATCTCACAGAAGATGAAATAAGAGAGTTTTGTAAACCTTACAGAGATCTCTCTGTCACGCGTCTGTTCTTTTACCTAGGGGACTAAAGAATACTCTTTGGCTCCTTTAGTCTTCTTAGGTGACTATGGCTTGACTGATTGGGTCTAGAATACTTATCAATTGGTAATTTCTTTTTTAACTACTCATCTTCTTAGAAATAACTGTGCAGCTCATTTCTTTAGAATTATCTGAGATAGAGGTTAGCAATTGGACCTGAAATTTTCTTGGTATAAGGAATTTCTAGGTTGGGAAAGTTCCTCTACTAATATATGTTGACACCTTCTCTGAAACTTATAGAATTGCCTAGAATACGGAGAGGGTAAGGACTGGCCCAAGACCACAAAACCAGTATGTGTCCGAGGCGGAAAGTGAACATCGTCTTTCTAATTATGAAGCCAGATCTCTACTATGTCATTCTACCTTTTTTAGAATTATTATGAATAACTTTTCATTCTTTTTTTCCATCCTCTTGCTTTTGCACAATTTGCTCCCCCCCCCCATTCCTGGAATACCCCTTTGAATTCTTTATTCAAAGTTCAGTACAGGTGCAACCTCATAGAGGAATATTTTCCTCATCTCCCTGGTTGTTAATACACTCTCCCTTCTCAAATTATCTTTTTTTTACTTTTCTGGGTACACTTTTTCTTTTCCTAGGAGAATGTAAAGTGCCTTAAGATCAGATTCTACTTTTTTTTTTTCCAGATCCCAAGGGCTAAGCACAATGCATTGTATTTAGTGCTTAATAAAGGTTTGCTGAATTGAAGGCAGGAGTAATTTGTTCATATTGGTACATTTATACTGTCCAAGGATTTTGCATTTTAGTTCTTATGCTTTATGGTTCTTACTATACTCTGTGTTTTCATGGTCATTATTGGCTAAAAATTTCCCCTCCAGTCCATACACTTGGAGGTTCATATTAAATACTTCCTTTTTGTTTGCCCTCCAGCTGTGACTTTATTTAGTGTAATTCTACCTACCAAGGATCCTAGTTTAGGAGATTCCAACACTATTGATCTTAAGTCAATTTATGATGGGGCAGACAAGTTAATACTTCTTATCTCTCTAGTGAGCCTGGGCTTTTGCTACTCTCAGTGGTCTCCTTAAATCACAATTAATGACAGGGAAA